CCCAGCATTTAGTCCTCGGTGATGGAAAACCTTCAATACGTTTATGCATATCATAATATCTTTGTTGGTGCATAATACCATTGATATACATAATTGTTATGAGAAACACTTTGAACAAACAAATTTGATAACCATTTAATGAGGGCAACTGCTGGCAAGAGGCTCTTGGTTAAAAAGAGTTAAACCAAAACCTTCCATATTTGGATTTACATTTATTGCTTTTTCCCCAAGGTTTTATCCTCCCCCCCACATCCTTCCCCAGAGGTTCAGTGCTTCCTCAGTTATGCAAATTTAGTGATAATTATCTACAGAGCAAAGTTAACATATGGTAATTTCAAATACTTAACAGAGAAAGCAGTACAACATTTATTCCTCTATTTTCCTTGGGCAACAGCTCTCCTTGCCCACTTTTAGCACTTTCCAGTTTGAAAAGGTTTGTAGTGGGAAGGACTGCAACTAGTCTTTTCAAATTCATCTAAATAGCACAGCTCCTTCAAAGTAAATCTGATTAAAGAAGGAAGAAGCACACAGGTCAATTATTATTATTATTATAATCATGGGGGAGCACTAAACCCGTAGGATTATGCAGCGCCAGTGGGGGAGATGTGGAAAGTATTCGGGCTTAATTCAGGGAACTGAAGCACAGATCCAATTCCCTAGATCAAGAGCCCCTCACCAACGTCAAGGAACCTTCCTTGAGGGGCACACAGGTCAAGCATTGAATATTTCAGTTTCACCCATAGTGGAGCATAAAAACCCTAACTGAAATAAAAGTCCTCTTAAATGTCTTTCAAATTAATCCTTAAAAACTAAATGTTTTCTGAATTACATTCAAACTACATCTTAACTTGTAATGGTCATATAACTCTATATGTTTGCTTAACACAGTCTTTCTACTGTGCTTGTCAGCAAGTATCCTCGTCCAACTTGACATCCATGCTAAGATTAAAGTGATCACAGATACAAAGATTGGTATAGTGAAAAAAACCATACCACGGGTGGGGTTAGAGCCCGTGATCAGGAGTCTCAAAACTCTGTGGTATGGTTTGTTTGCAATCGTGTCATTACGATTTCGTGAGTCATTGGTATAGTGATGCTGACAAGATGGGAAGAATTCCCAGTTCAGAACAAAGGAAATGTTTCAGCAGCATTGGCTTCATGACTGACGTCGGTGAAACCATTTCCTTTATTAATGTCCTGAACTTGACACAAGGGTCTAGTCCCTATGTTGCAAGGTGCTTCCATTGAGATTGCTGCTGCAAGGTGCTTCCATTAATGTTGCAAGGTGCTTCCATTGATATTGCTATGTTGCAAGGTGCTTCCATTAATATTGCTATGTTGCAAGGTGCTTCCACTGACATTTAAAGTGACTGACAAAAATTAATGCAATTTTATATTCATGAGGCACTAACCTGTTGGGGTTATATGGCACCTATGAAAGTAGTCAGATTTGATCCAAGGGAATAGTTCCTGTTCCTTGAAAAAGCCCTTAAACATTAAGGCATCCACCCCCACCCCTTTGAAAGAAGAAAAAAAAAATAAACTGGTTGTAAGAAGTATATATTCAACCTCAGATTCTTTCCCCTTCCATAGCTGGATCTGACTTCACCATCGAAAGCTCTTCCCCCTTGAGGGCTCTTGTTCCAAGGAACTGGATTACATCCCTGTGTGTAGACTGAACCCAATTGCCTTCTATTTCTAGAAACTACACAACCCTAAGGAATTAAGTTACACTTGTCTTCAAGGAAATTTTTTAATAGTGGCTGACTCAAAAGTGTTTAGCGAGTTATTTCAATGTATTCACCGAAAGGTATACATCCATTGCAAAATTTTCTTTGATCTATTTTAGGCATGAAGTATTCTTGACTGGTGGTGTAGAAAAGATATGCAGCCTTAATGACCTTGTATACTAAAAAAACCCATAAATCAACCAATCCTCTTTCTGGGATCAAACCAATTTTACCATATTCCCAGGTGCTGCATAATTGACATTCAGTATTTACCAAGCAATGTAAAATCTGCCTGAAGAGAGACGGGGCAGATCTATGAAACTTACAAAGCTTAAGCTTCAGGACCCTTAATCGTGGAGGGCCCCCAGAAGTGACAGTCCACATTGCTCAAATTTTGGGTCTACTGTATGAAGTGTTGCAAAGTGAGGGGCCTCCCATAACCGTTAAAGCTTCAGGACCCCAAAACTGTCTACCACTGAAAAGGTCTTGGGCCAAAACATAAAGACTGCTTTTTAATTTTTAATAGGAGTGGTTCCTGACCTTTTAAAGTGCAGCCATAAAGCGATCCGAGCCAAAAACTTGACAATGGTCCATTGTGAAGGACTTTGGTAGATACAACCAAATGCTTGAATCAACAACCATTAATGATGCCATTCTAATGTGCATAATGAAATACTAAACACAAGTTTATATAGCAGCTGGGAATGGGAGGTAATCTTGCTTGATTAAAAATAGACTAGTATGAACTTGATCATGAGTCCTTCAAAAGCATCAAGGAAATCCCCTTAAAAACCAAGTAGGTGAGTACTATTTTAAAAGCCTTAACCCTTAAAACGGTCCAAACAGATGATGTTCAAATTCGTTTTTTTTACATATTTTCAAATATAACAAAAAATAAAATGTAGATAAAAGTTTTTTACAGATTTTCAAATGTAAAAAACAAAAGAAGATCTAAATTTTTTTACATACTTTCAAATGTTGAAAAAACGTATATATACGTTTGGACCGTTTAAGGGTTAAAAGAAGGTGCATTAATGAATGCAAAAGGCTACTGACCTAGAGATTAAATGCCTCCCTCTCCTTGGAGCAAATTCATCACTCATTTCTTTGGGGCTCTACGATCTCTGGCTCATGATAATACAACTGTAACTTTAGGGCCTTATTGTAAGGCTTAAGCACATCAAGTAGATACCATCCAAGAAGCTACACTACCACCCTTGTGTCATACCAAGTAAAATGAATCTTACTAAATGGTTAGTATTCTGGCAAGATTGCCGTTCTTTATTAATGTGCAAGATCCTTTACTTATTCGGTATACACTTTACCATTACTCAATTGGTATTTCTACATTTCCTTTATCATTTGTGCAACTTTGTATGAATAAGCCACAGGGGCAGGGAAAAAATGATTCCCAGAACTAATAGGAGGCCTATTGAGAGCAGGCCTATTGTTAATAATCTGATAATAGAAGGCCTGGCATGAGAGCATGCCCATGGGGCCTATCCCTGGAAACATTAAATATTCCTTATTTTCTCATGTGGGTTTGAGTGGTAGAGTTAAAAAAAAACTGATTATAATGCAGGAAACTTGTTAAACTTTGAAGCAATCAATCATCTGGCCTTAGGTTTAACCCTTAAAAATCCGACTTTAAGCCATATTTCCCTCTGGACTGCCTGATTAACCAGACTCAGCCAGGAGGCCCACAGCCTCAGAGGGGCTCCAGAAGTGACAGTCCACATTGCTTAAAAACTGTCTACTGTAAGAGAAGGGTTTCAAAAATGTAATTCAAATACAAAATTAGTTAAAATAAAACTTGAAAGGTTATTAAAGTGGAACCTCGGCTTACAAATTTAATCCGTTCCGTGACCTCGTTCGTATCCCGATTTGTTCATATGCTGAGTCAATTTTCCTAATTTAAATTAATTGAAATGGCATTAACCCATTCCAGTGGAATTCCTGCTCTTAGGAGGCACGACAGAATACTTCAATATGATTCTAATATCAACTCTACGGCTTATTTATATATCATATTTCATCTAATTTCATTACTAAAGGAATTCACAACAGGTGCATCATTGTCAGTGTTCAGCATTTCTTCGATGTCAGCTTCCTGTAACTCCATTAGCACACAGTCAAGATGTGTAAATAGAATTGTCAATGCTTATTGCTTGGGTACATTTATTCTGTTAGTGGGTTGGATCTGTGAAGGACCTGCCTAGTATGGGCCAACAGGCCTACTGCAATGTTCCTCCTTCTAATCTTATTATGTACCTACGACACCAATCATATTCAGCCCCTCCCACTCATTAATTGTCCAATCTCTTTTTAAAGTTACCAAGGTTCTACGAATTAAAACCTTGGGTAGTTTCAAATTTAAGTTGGATAAATACATGAGTGAGAGGGGTTGGATGTGAGTGGGACTTGCACGTGAGTTAACAGAATTATCAAAGCTTATTGCTTGGGTAGCATTGAAAATTGAGTTAAGCAAAATTCTGTTAGTGGGATGGATTGTGAAGGATCTGTCTAGTATGGGCCAACAGGTCTGCTGCAGTATATTATTATTAGTACGTATGTATAATAATAATAATAATAATAATATATAATAATAATAATAATAAAAATAATAATAATTATTATTATTATTAATTTACGGAAGTGGAGCACAGATCCAATTCCCTTGATCAAGAGCCCCTCACCAAGGAACCTCCCTTGAGGGGAAAGTTTGCATCCTGAAATTTCGTTTGTATCCAGAAGCAAAAATTGATCGAGTGACTGTTCGTATCCTGAAAAAATTGGCATGGTGGGGCATTTGTAAGCCAAGGTTCCACTGTATCATGTAGGCTAGCCACTTCTGGTTGCAAAGAGGCTCCCACTACAGTTAAAGCTTCAGGGCCCCCAAAATGTAGGTCCACCACTGCCCACATAACTACTGCAAACCTCACTGATCCATCATACATTTCCACAAAAGTTGTAAATGCAACACTTTTTGCATTGTGCAATATAAAATTATGAATGAGTAATTCATCAATTTATTAATGAAATAAACATGCCAAGTGTTCCAAACAAATTTTAAGTAAAAAAGTATGCTAGTAGAGTATCTATCAATATGCAAAATACAGGTACGGAAGTGCTAGTAGAACTCATTCAACAATGTTCTAATAACACTTTTACACCTTTCATTCAAGTTATAAAAAAAACTATTTTATACAATACAAATCTGTTTCATATCTTCCAAAATTTCACATATATGGCTTTGTGGGCTGCTGTTGCAGGTACGAAGTGTCCTCCAGGATGTACGTGAGTCTCCGGCTCGTGGAAGTACTGTAGCAGTTCCTCACTCATATCCTTCCCTATTACCTGACAAGAAATATATACATGGTTAAGGAGTATACCATATACTGACCATACAATACTGTATGAATATCTCACAGTCAACAGTACAGGCAATAGCTGTGATGGTTATCAAGCATTTTTAACGTGTAGGCCACTCAGTGCTCTCAGCCATAAAAATATGGATTAAATACTCGATACGATGGGAGAAAAATGACAGACATTTTTATCTACATAAGACTATCTCAGTCTAATTACAAAATTAATTCACATTTCTTTTGTTGTATGTGGGTTATTTATGCTAATGACCAATTACAATACAATTAAAAACAGAGGAAGTGCTAAACTCTCAGGGAGAGACGTACAGTACTTGTGGAAGGGAAGAGAATTTCATATCATCTATGAAAGGGTAAACTGCACAATTCCTTTAGTATTTCTAAATGGCCCATAACCTGATATTCCTTTGTAATCCGTGCGTGTCGGAAAATGATTTCTAAAATGCTGGGAGTAAAGGCACTAGTAATCTTGTATAAATTACTGCATGTAAATAAGTAACTCCCAGGTCACCCTGCCTATGTGGGAGACAGCTGGTACATTACAAAAATTTAAATTGACAAATTTTTTTATTTATCTTGGAAGGTAAATAACCAAGAATAAGAAATTCATGCAATGGCCTATTTTGATTTTTTGGTCCTACAGCAACGTTAGGAAACTAACCTCAGTAACAGCACAAATTTAAAAGATGGTTCATCTTTACTCTGCTTCAAATACCCTTATATACAAAAATTTAACCCTAGAAGGGTATACTTTAGTGTACCCAGGTACACTATCCAGCAAGGACAATTAAAATAATCAGAATTAACTGTTGACGTTGAGGAACACTGACAAACTAAGTGATATCAGTCATATTTAACATCACTAGGATTGAACGGTCTTGCTTTATACAGGTTTGCTCTTTGGGAATCTGCTTGTATGATGCACCGTTTTTACTGGCAACAGAGCATGTTGTAATGCCCATCCACCACGTGATAGTTACAATTAGCACAACATACTGAAGATTATGTACACTGAAGACTTCGATAGCAGGTACTGACAAGGAAGGAAAACATTTAAGTAGCAATAAAAATGTCCCCATTACTTTATAAAGCTCTATCTGGAGTCATATTGACAGATAAATGGGCATAGGCAGCTCCCTGACTGAGTAAAACTAATGTATTGCATATTATGACATCTCTTTTATTTTTCCTTTAAGTTTTAGCTAATATATTCACATGTTATGTTACTTAGAAATAATTTAAACTTAATCTAAAACTACACTTTAATTAATGAACACCTGCATGCATAAACCATGTCCCTATATATACACACCTGATCAGTTTCACCATAGATATGAAGGGTAGGCAATGTGATCTTCTCGGAATACAAGCACTGATGTGGTGCTGACCTGGATCTAACGCTGATGCAAAAATTGCAAACTTGAAGGAAAAGGTTAATTTTGCCTTGTTGCTGTAGTCCACACAGTAGGCCTAACATGGCTGCACCTTGACTGAAGCCTAAGACGCCATCAAATGGACCAGATTCTTTAAAACATACTTCAACTGCCTTCAGAGATTCCTGAAAATAGAGGAATTATGGCTAGCCATCAGCATCTGGCACAGCAAACACATGCAAAGTACATGGGCACACTATCTGCTTAATCTAAGGACTGGAGGAAAAATTAACGAAAATAACAAAAAAAAAAACGCATTAAGTGAAACATTTTTCCCTATAGAAGCAACTCATAGAAAGAAATACGATTTGTGACCCATTACCAATATTTTCCTCACGTTATAATGTAAAATTGGAACCAGGATAATATTCCATATCTAATTACTATTAAATTTTTTAAATTATGAAATTTAAAAAATGTAGTACTTACCGGTGTTGAGCGGAGGCACCCTGGACATATGAATGCACAAAACTTGTACGAAAGCAGACCTGACCAAGAGTAATTTCTGCTTTACTGAACTTTCTACTCTTCCCCTTTAGATATGAAATACAATGTACCCATATAAAAATTAGACTTATCAGTGGTCTTGGGTTGAATGACTAACACCTTTGAAAATTATGGGTTTAAAGAGTTATTTTAGGACAACATAAGTAATTTTCACTCACAGGTTTAACAATTGCCCGTTAAGCTGGGTCTCCATGCAGGTGAAATTATCTTTCCAAGGAACTGGTGGGACTACTGCCATCAAAGATTTCCATGTCCCAGGAGTTTGGTACCTTCCCATAATTTTTTGGTTGACGTGAAAAGTTAAACACCCATAGACATCATTCAGTTTCTTGGAAGAGGTGCTTGAAATTTGATCCAAGGAAAAGGGCATATCTAATTCTAAGTATGAAGAGGTCTTTACTAGCATCAATACACCTTCTTCAGGGTAAGAACAGCAATGTTACTGGGAAGTACATTAAACCCTCAATTTAACACCAAGTTATAAATAACAAAAGGCACAATACCTTGACTGGAACAATACACTAATAACTCCGCACATAGAAGAGAGGAGCTTACGATGACGTTTCAGTCCGACTTGGACCATTTACAAGTTATAGGCAAAAATCTATGGTTAAATTGTGCTTTATTTCCAATATTTACTGGGTTCTATAAATTGTGTCCAGTACTTTATTAGGTATATAGGGTACCTGTGTTTTTTTTATTTTTAACACTTAATGGACACTGAAGCTGTCTTATTAGTCTATCATATCAAGGACTTTCTGTACACCCTCTGCCACATCTTGAGACAAACGTTAGAAGTGTTTTGAACAAGAAAAATGAGGCATCAAAGTACAGTACAGTGGTACCCCGAGTTTCGAACTTTCTCCATTCCAGAAGGTTGTTCTAGTGCCATTACCAAATGAATTTGTTCCCATAAGGAATAATGTAAATTAGATCAGCCCATTTCAGACCCCCAAAAATACACTTACAAAAGCACTTAGAGTAATAAACTTACATAATTGGTCGGGTTGGGAGCAGTTCGAAACTCAGGGTAACACTGTACTTAATTTCTTAGGGAGAAAGTTTGTGGCTCATACAGATCATAAATCATTGCTAGGTTTGTTTGGAAACAGTAAAGAGATTCCAAAAATGCAAATGCCAGAATTCAGCACTGAGCTCTGTATTACCTCAATATGATTATGAACTGTTATTCAAAGCGGCAAGGAAAATGTTAGCTTAATTTTTTGGCTAAAAATACATTTCAGATTAAAAGTGCCTTTTTAAATTTAAAATATTTAAAGGAATTAAGATATGGAGTACAGTGGACCCCCGGTTTACGATATTATTTCATTCCAGAAGTATGTTCAGGTGCCATTACTGAACGAATTTGTTCCCATAAGGAATATTGTGAATTAGATTAGTCCATTTCAGACCCCCAAACATACACGTACAAACACACTTACATAAATACACTTACATAATTGGTCGCATTGGGAGCTGATCGTAAAGCGGGGGTCCACTGTATTTTAGCCTGGGTGTCCCCATCCCAGCTCACCTGCGCATCATTGGGGCAAATATAATTTACTCTAGAACTTTCTCCTAACTCTATCTAGATTAACACTTATTAAATTTATTACATTTAGGGAAAGTGCTAAGCCCATGGGGATTATGGAAAGACTGGGGAGGGGGGACAAGGAGACCAGCTTCCCTTGTAGACAAAGTTCAATTTCTTGAACAAACTTCGCCAGCATCAAGGAACTTCCCTTTGAAGGATGACACTGGTCGGCCATCACTAACCCAGCACCCTGCAGGTTCCGATACTTCCCTTTTAAGGATGACACTGGTCGGCCATCACTAACCCAGCACCCTGCAGGTTCCGATACTTCCCTTTGAAGGATGACACTGGTCGGCCATCACTAACCCAGCACCCTGCAGGTTCCGATACTTCCCTTTGAAGGATGACACTGGTCGGCCATCACTAACCCAGCACCCCTGCAGGTTCCGATACTTCCTTTGAAGGATGACACTGGTCGGCCATCACTAACCCAGCACCCTGCGGGTCCGATACTTCCCTTTGAAGGATGACACTGGTCGGCCATCACTAACCCAGCACCCTGCAGGTTCCGATACTTCCCTTTGAAGGATGACACTGGTCGGCCATCACTAACCCAGCACCCTGCAGGTTCCGATACTTCCCTTTGAAGGATGACACTGGTCGGCCATCACTAACCCAGCACCCTGCAGGTTCCGATACTTCCCTTTGAAGGATGACACGGGTTTCGGCCATCACTAACCCAGCACCCGGCAGGTCCGATACTTCCTTTGAAGGAGGGACACTGGTCGGCCATCACTAACCCCAGCACCCTGCAGGTTCCGTACTTCCCTTTGAAGGATGACAACTGGTCGGCCATCACTAACCAGTCACCCTGCAGGTTCCGATACTTCCCTTTGAAGGATGACATGGTCGCCATCACTAACCCAGCACCCTGCAGGTTCCGATACTCCTTTGAAGGATGACACTGGTCGGCCATCACTAACCCAGCACCCTGCAGTTTCCGATATTCCCTTTGAAGGATGACACTGGTCGGCCATCACTAACCCAGCACCCTGCAGGTTCCGATACTTCCCTTTGAAGGATGACACTGGTCGGCCATCACTAACCCAGCACCCTGCAGGTTCCGATACTTCCCTTTGAAGGATGACACTGGTCGGCCATCACTAACCCAGCACCCTGCAGGTTCCGATACTTCCCTTTGAAGGATGACACTGGTCGGCCATCACTAACCCAGCACCCTGCAGGTTCCGATACTTCCCTTTGAAGGATGACACTGGTTGGCCATCACTAACCCAGCACCCTGCAGGTTCCGATACTTCCCTTTGAAGGATGACACTGGGTCGGCCATCACTAAACCCAGCACCCTGCAGGTTCCGATACTTCCCTTTGAAGGATGACACTGGTCGGCCATCACTAACCCAGCACCCTGCAGGTTCCGATACTTCCCTTTGAAGGATGACACTGGTCGGCCTTCACTAACCCAGCACCCTGCAGGTTCCGATACTTCCCTTTGAAGGATGACACTGGTCGGCCATCACTAACCCAGCACCCTGCAGGTTCCGATGATGCCGGATCATTGATGGCCAACCTGTACTGATTCAGTGATAAAAATAGTGGACTGGTAATTTTTGCATTATGAATTAAGATGGGTGAAAATACTGTATTTTAAATAACTAAATAAATTAGCATTTTCTCACCTCAAATCCTTTACTGCATTCTGACTCCTCTTGAGCGTTAAAATAATTATCCTGTCTGCTGAACCACCAACCACTGCCACCATCTTTATCCTGACCGTCGTCAATGGGCGGAACTTCAACTGGTGACGTTATGTAGACGAACTCTGCATATTTCTTCAACATCTTCCTATTTGTATAGAAGCCAGAGATTCAATGTATTATGCAATGTACAATGTAATCTAATTCCAAAATTTACAAGGCTAAATTCCTGCATGTCCCGCAGATATTTTAACAGTCTATCATTCTTAAGGGTAGTGGCGTAGAATGCTTAGTTTGCAAGCCATGAACATGACTAGAATGACAGGAACAGGAAACTAGAAATCGTATCATGTATTGGAAAGATGCAAAATTAAATCCGTATAACATTTTAGATATGGGTTTATTTTCCTAGCCACAATATTTTGAATAAGAGCCTCACTGGCATCAAGGCATCAACTGGAAGTCTAACAGTACACAATCTTAAGTGATCTATCAAGCACAAACTGGTATATTAAAACCAAAAAGATTAATTTCTAAGTACAGTGGACCCCCGCATGACGATATTATTTCAATCCAGAAGTCTGTTTTGGTGCCATTATAGACCAAATTTGTTCCCATAAGAAATATTGTGAATTAGATTAGTCCATTTCAGACCCATAAAAATACACCTACAAAAGCACTTACAAAAATAAACTTACATAATTGGTCGAGTTGGGAGCTGATCGTTATCCGGGGGTCCACTGTACATTAAGTTGCAGCCTAAATTCTACCGGGTCACATGCAAAAATTTCCTAATTTTGTGAATGTTTTAAAATAAATTTGAGCTTGTCCAATAAATGAATAAGAAATCAGACTTGCCTAATTTTTTGCTAGGTAATCTTGAAAGTTTTAAAATTTTATACAATTTACTGTTAGATTACAACTTTCAAAACTTAGTTCTAGTTTATTTCTGCCCAAATGTGGTGCTGCATTTTCCTGGATGTATGCAAATTTGTGACACTGGTCATGTATAATTGAAGTTTGCAAAACAATGTATAGATAAAAATTTCTGGTTTAGTACACCTGCCATAGATCTGGAACACCTACATAAAAATTTATACTTTTACATAACTATGGGCTTTAAAAAACAAACCCAGTGAAAATAGGAAAGGTGGCTGAGCACTTTCATGTGCTTGCACATCTTCAGAGGAAGACTGTACAAACATATGAAAGTACAGTGGGCCCCCGGTTAACGATATTCTTTCACTCCAGAAGTATGTTCAGGTGCCAGTACTGACCGAATTTGTTCCCATAAGGAATATTGTGAAGTAGATTAGTCTGCTTCAGACCCCCAAACATACACGTACAAACGCACTTACATAAATACACTTACATAATTGGTCGCATTCGGAGGTGATCGTTATGCGGGGGTCCACTGTACTAATTATTTACTATTTTCACTGGTGTTTTTTTTCTCATATTGGCAATCACGTGTTTTGATTATTATTATTATACTCAAAAAGAAGCGCTAAACCACAAGGGCTATACAACTCCGAGTTTTTGTTTTAATCTGTTCAGATTCACACATTCTAATTTATTCATTTATTAACACATCGGCCGTTTCCCCAAGGCAGGGTGGCCCACCAAGGCAGGGTGGCCACCAAGGCAGGGTGGCCACCAAGGCAGGGTGGCCACCAAGGCAGGGTGGCCCACCAAGGCAGGGTGGTCACCAAGGCAGGGTGGCCACCAAGGCAGGGTGGCCCACCAAGGCAGGGTGGCCACCAAGGCAGGGTGGCCACCAAGGCAGGGTGGCCACCAAGGCAGGGTGGTCACCAAGGCAGGGTGGTCACCAAGGCAGGGTGGTCACCAAGGCAGGGTGGTCACCAAGGCAGGGTGGTCACCAAGGCAGGGTGGTCACCAAGGCAGGGTGGTCACCAAGGCAGGGTGGTCACCAAGGCAGGGTGGTCACCAAGGCAGGGTGGTCACCAAGACAGGGTGACCTGAAAAAGAAAAACTTTCACCATCATTCACTCCATCACTGTCTTACCAGAGAGGTACTTTACACTACAGTTATAAAACTGGCACATTACCACCCGTCCTTCAGAGTACAGACACTGTACTTCCCACCTCCAGGACTCAAGTCCTTCCAGCCAGTGTCCCTGAATCCCTTCATAAATGTTACACTCTAACATTATCTACATTTAGGTACCTGAAGGAACCAGTTTTTTCACGGAAGCTGATACCATTCTGGCGGTAACCATGAAGACAGAGTATCCTCAGAGGTCTCTCCCTCCCTCCAGCCATTGTTGGAAAAATGAACTTTTCACGTTTACCTGGTAGAGGAATCTTCTTCAGTACAGTTTGCAGATTTTTTTTTTTTTTTTTTTTTTGGGGGGGGGGGGGGGGGGAATTAACCTAGAGAGTTAAGTACAAGGGTTGAGTCTTAGCTCCTGGGCCCCAGCACTGGGTGGCATTCTGTGGGAGAGGAGCCAAGACTTGAATGGGGTTATCCTAAGTTAACTATCCCTGGGTTGTCCTGGGTTAACTACCCCTGGGTTAACTACCCTGGGTTACCTACCCCTGGGTTACCTACTCCTGGGTTAACTACCCCTAGGTTACCTACCCCTGGGTTACCTACTCCTGGTGTAACTACCCCTGGGTTACCTACCCCTGGGTTTACCTACCCCTGGGTTAACTATGCCTGGGTTACCTACCCCTGGGTTACCTACTCCTGGGTTATTCCTGGGTTAACTACCCCTAGGTTACCTACCCCTGGGTTACTACTCCTGGGTTAACTACCCATGGGTTAACCTACCCCTGGGTTACCTACCCCTGGGTTACCTACTCCTGGGTTATCCTGGGTTAACTACCCCTGGGTTACCTACCCCTGGGTTACCTACTCCTGGGTTATCCTGGGTTAACTATCCCTGGGTTATCCTGGGTTAACTACCCCTGGGTTACCCTGGGTTAACTACCCCTGGGTTATCCTGGGTTTACTCCTGGTTAACTACCCCTGGGTTATCCTGGGTTAACTACCCTGGGTTATCCTGGGTTAACTACTCTGGGTTATCCTGGGTTAACTACCCCTGGGTTATCCTGGGTTAACTACCCCTGGGTTATCCTGGGTTAACTACCCCTGGGTTATCCTGGGTTAACTACCCCTGGGTTATCCTGGGTTACCTACCCCTGGGTTATCCTGGGTTACCTACCCCTGGGTTATCCTGGGTTACCTACCCCTGGGTTACCCTGGGTTAACTACCCCTGGGTTATCCTGGGTTTACTCCTGGGTTATCCTGGGTTAACTACCCCTGGGTTATCCTGGGTTAAACTATCCCTGGGTTATCCGGGTTAACTACCCTGGGTTTATCCTGATTTAACTACCCCTGGGTTATCCTGGGTTAACTACCCCTGGGTTATCCTGGGTTAACCACACCTGGGTTATCCTGGGTTAACTACCCCTGGGTTATCCTGGGTTAACTACCCCTGGGTTATCCTGGGTTAACTACCCTGGGTTATCCTGGTTAACTACCCCTGGGTTATCCTGGGTTAACTACCCCTGGGTTATCCTGGGTTAACTACCCCTGGGTTATCCTGGTTTACTACCCCTGGGTTATCCTGGGTTAACTACCCTGGGTTATCCTGGGTTAACTACCCCTGGGTTATCCTGGGTTAACTACCCCTGGGTTATCCTGGGTTAACTACCCCTGGGTTATTCTGGGTTAACTACCCCTGGGTTATCCTGGGTTAACTACCCCTGGGTTATCCTGGGTTAACTATCCCTGGGTTACCGATTCCTGGGTTATCCTGGGTTAACTACCCCTTGGTTATCCTGGGTTAACTACCCCTGGGTTATCCTGGGTTAACTACCCCTGGGTTATCCTGGGTTAACTACCCCTGGGTTATCCTGGGTTAACTACCCCTGGGTTATTCTGGGTTAACTACCCCAGGTTAACTACCCCTGGGTTATCCTGGGTTAACTACCTCTGGGTTATCCTGGGTTAACTACCCCTGGGTTACCCTGGGTTAACTACCCCTGGGTTAACTACCCCTGGGTTATCCTGGGTTAACTACCCCTGGGTTATCCTGGGTTAACTACCCCTGGGTTAAGTACCCCTGGGTTATCCTGGGTTAACTACCCCTGGGTTATCCTGGGTTAACTACCCCTGGGTTACCCTGGGTTAACTACCCCTGGGTTATCCTGGGTTAACTACCCCTGGGTTATCCTGGGTTACCTACCCCTGGGTTATCCTGGGTTACCTACCCCTGGGTTATCCTGGGTTACCTACCCCTGGGTTACCATGGGTTAACTACCCCTGGGTTATCCTGGGTTACCTACCCCTGGGTTACCCTGGGTTAACTACCCCTGGGTTATCCTGGGTTAACTACCCCTGGGTTACCCTGGATTAACTACCCCTGGGTTATCCTGGGTTAACTACCCCTGGGTTATCCTGGGTTACCTACCCCTGGGTTATCCTGGGTTACCTACCCTGGGTTATCCTGGGTTAACTACCCCTGGGTTACCCTGGGTTAACTACCCCTGGGTTATCCTGGGTTAACTACCCCTGGGTTAACTACCCCTGGGTTAACTACTCCTGGGTTAACTACCCCTGGGTTAACTAATCCTGGGTTATTCCTGGGTTAACTACCCCTGGGTTAACTCCTGGGTTATCCTGGGTTAACTACTCCTGGGTTAACTACCCCTGGGTTAACTAATCCTGGGTTATCCTGGGTTAACTACCCCTGGGTTAACTACTCCTGGGTTATCCTGGGTTAACTACTCCTGGGTTATCCTGGTTAACTAACCCCTGGGTTACCCTGGGTTAACTACCCCTGGGTTACCCTGGGTTAACTACCCCTGGGTTAACTAATCCTGGGTTATCCTGGGTTAACTACCCCTGGGTTAACTACTCCTGGGTTATCCTGGGTTAACTACTCCTGGGTTAACTACCCCTGGGTTAACTAATCCTGGGTTATCCTGGGTTAACTACCCCTGGGTTAACTACTCCTGGGTTATCCTGGGTTAACTACTCCTGGGTTATCCTGGGTTAACTACCCCTGGGTTACCCTGGGTTAACTACCCCTGGGTTACCCTGGGTTAACTACCCCTGGGTTATCCTGGGTTAACTACCCCTGGGTTATCCTGGGTTAACTACCCCTGGGTTACCCTGGGTTAACTACCCCTGGGTTATCCTGGGTTAACTACCCCTGGGTTATCCTGGTTAACTACCCCTGGGTTACCCTGGTTAACTAACCCCTGGGTTATCCTTGGTTAACTACCCCTGGGTTAACTACTCCTGGGTTATCCTGGGTTAACTACTCCCGGTTATCCTGGGTTAACTACCCCTGGGTTACCCTGGGTAAACTACCCCGGGTTATTATTCAGTCTACATCAATACAAATAAAACAGACAATAAAACAACAACTTTATTATCAATATTTACAATATAAACATTGTAAATGATTTACAAAATATTTAACAAAACAACGTCAATATAAAAACTGGATCAATAAAACAAAATCCAGAATAAAGTGACCTTTAAAATACAATAAAGTCTAAAATCTTACTATTTATTACTCCAGAAGTTCATTAAATCCGCTTATTTTATTTACAGTAAAACCGGATGACACTATCAGTATTTTGTTGTTGTTAAGGCATTAAGCGGCTCACACTGTATTTAACACATTTTTTTTATTTTTTCTTGAAAAAATTGCCAAAATATGAGTATAAAACTACATTTATATTTTGCAAGTAATAAAACTTACAAAAAATAATAATTTTATTGATTAAAAAGTCTGAGTTAGATGACCAGTCCATTTTTGAGTCGGTGACCGGATTCTACTGAGCCGTAGAAAACTTGAACTTAAGAGAGAGTTTACCTGGAGTTTACCTGGAGAGAGTTCCGGGGGTCAACGCCCCCGCGGCCCGGTCTGTGACCAGGCCTCCTGGTGGATCAGAGCCTGATCAACCAGGCTGTTACTGCTGGCTGCACGCAAACCAACGTACGAGCCACAGCCCGGCTGGTCAGGAACCGACTTTAGGTGCTTGTCCAGTGCCAGCTTGAAGACTGCCAGGGGTCTGTTGGTAATCCCCCTTATGTATGCTGGAGGCAGTTGAACAGTCTCGGCCCCTCTAGGATTTTCCAGGTGTATATAATCATGTATCTCTCCCTCCTGCGTTCCAGGAATACAGGTTCAGGAACCTCAAGCGCTCCCAGTAATTGAGGGTTTTATCTCCGTTATGCGCGCCGTGAAAGTTCTCTGTACATTTTCTAGGTCGGCAATTTCACCTGCCTTGAAAGGTGCTGTTAGTGTGCAGCAATATTCCAGCCTAGATAGAACAAGTGACCTGAAGAGTGTCATCATGGGCTTGGCATCCCTAGTTTTTGAAGGTTCTCATTATCCATCCTGTCATTTTTCTAGCAGATGCGATTGATACAATATTATGGTCCTTGAAGGTGAGATCCTCCGACATGATCACTCCCAGGTCTTTGACGTTGGTGCTTCGCTCTATTTTGTGGCCGGAATTTGTTTTTGTACTCTGATGAAGATTTAATTTCCACGTGTTTACCATATCTGAGTAATTGAAATTTCTCATCGTTGAACTTCATATTGTTTTCTGCAGCCCACTGAAAGATTGGTTGATGTCCGCCTGGAGCCTTGCAGTGTCTGCAATGGAAGACACTGTCATGGCAGATTCGGGTGTCATCTGCAAAGGAAGACACGGTGCTGTGGCTGACATCCTTGTCTATGTCCAGATATGAGGATGAGGAACAAGATGGGAGCGAGTATGTGCCTTGTGGAACATAGCTTTTCACCGTGCTCCTCGGACTTACCTGTTACTACTAC